TTTAAAATGTCTTTTATCAGTGCTAGGAACCGAACCCAAAGCCACGGCAAAATACCTTTTTATTTAGTCATCTTTTTAAAATTATAATACTGCATAAATGTAAGAAAGAAAGAGAGAGAGAGATAGCTCTTCCACACAGCAACACCTGATTCCGAGGGCACAGGGGACTGACTGACATGGCTTCCCATGATGTTCTCAGCAGGCAAGACGGTTGCTCTCATTTCTTCGGGGGAAACCAGAGGCCTGTGCTCTCTACCCTGTCAAGACTTCCTGTAGATCTAGAGTAGCTGACCGTGATGTAAAATGTGTCCACTTAGTGCTGAGCTAAGCCAGAGACCAACGTCCAACTTCAGGCCTGCTGAGAGCGCTCTGCTGAGAACAGCTTCACATCCAGGTCCCTTGCTCTGCTATACAGAGAGCTACTACCTTGACCTACATCACGCGCAGTGGGAAATTGAACACAGGGAACTTCTTCCTTAGCTTCATTGCATTATTAGAAACACAATGACTCTTATTCCTTGCACGGGTAGAGACAGGATCCCAAGGCCGATGCTGACTAATCAGGACCCGAGAGTGGTCAACCTGGCACCAAGGCAGATCACAGGCTGACTGGAGGACGTCACCACTGTAGATGGAACTTTGGGATCCTTAGGTCTTCCCACAGCGCTCCAAGACATGAACACAAGAGACACAGCCTGAGACGAAAGTGTTGATCGTAGGCATGCCTGTCATTGGCACCTTGAATCGCATGACCCCTCGGGGCTACCACTAGAACATTGAAAAGAAACAGAATAAATGCCACCAAAGACATATTTTACCATCGAAGGCATGGTACAGGCCAGCTCGCCTACTTGGTTCCATGGTCTTTCCAGCCTCAGGAAGGTGCAGGTGGGTGCCAGATTGCTTCTGTGGCTAAAGAAGGAGGCAAGAAAGGGAGAGCAGGGACAAGAGGCAGTACAGGGCACCGTGTGGCACAGACACTCCTTTAACTCCTCCAGGAGATTTTAATGCCAACTTAGGAGTAAACAACAGAAATGTTAAATGGGGGGGGGGGGCTGTTGTTTGTTTGGTGGTTGTTTTCTATTTTGTATTTGCTTTTTCTCACAGCATCAAATCATCAATACTTCCTGGACATTCATTTAAGCAACATAGTCTCTGCTTCAGTGTAAACAGTTCTATTCAAAGTCCTTCTACAGAATGCCCCCGTCTTCAGGTCAGCCAAGATGGGAACGTCCTCTATTTTGGAAAGACCCAAGTACGCCTTCGCGTATTTGTGCCTGTTTGTGTTTGAGTTCTAACCTCGGCAATCCTCACCAAAAGCAATGTCTGAAAGGAGAGATGGAAGATTTGATTCTAATCGTGTCAGCGGGACTGGGCGCACAGAAGAGATAACAAAGTCTTCTTTCTCACACAAATATGAGGAAGCTTGGCAGACCTCACTTCTAAGACGACGAGTGAAGACTTCCAAAATCTACCCTAGTCTCTGCCTGTGGGGGTCCCAGGCATGGCCACTGAAATGCCCAAGTCACATATGTAGTAGCTAGAGAAGCCTGTCGCTGGACCAGCTAGGATTCACGGGACATCGGATGTCAATCACTCGATTCTGACCCATCCAGGACAAAAGTAATCAGGCTCCTCCTTCTGAAGTATTCCAACAGCAACCTGCTAGGTACAATGTCATCACAACACAGGCCATCAGAGTCGAAAGAATAACTCTAGCAGCCAAAAGAAATTGATTTTTATGAATCTGTATGAACAGCTAAAGAGTGCAAATTAATTTGGGGGAGGGGGCAAAAGTTAACCCTTTCAAGTAATCTACTTTACATCCTGTCAGAGGTAATTCAGTTCCCAGTGTCTGGAGATAAAGACTAAATAGTTATGTCAACCACTCAAAATTATACTTAAAATCTTACATTTGACAATGGGCCTGTAACCCCAGCACCCCCGAAGGTAGGAGGATTAGGGATTCAAGGCCTACCTCAGCCCAGCTCAGGTTAGAGGCCAGCTTGAGCTAGATAGTAAGCTTTGCCTTCCCAATCCAGGCACACACAGGCACACACACACACACACACACACACACACACACACACACACTAGTGTATTGAGGAGATTGGGGATCTAGATGAAATCACTGACAACTGTTGAGGCTTCAGAGGAGATATCTAAGAATCGACTATGTCGTCTCATGATTTTCCACACTAATATTTTAGAATTAGAAAAAAAAGTAAAGTGCCCACTGTCGTGTTTGATAATCCTTCCCTCAGCACTCTGAAGGCATCGTTTGTAGCACCAGCTGTGGCAGCGATCCCACACTCGCCACGCCGTTAAGAGCCATAACCCTGCTTCCGACCGCTGGAAAACACCCAAGCCCTAGCTACTTCCAAAGGCCTCCCTAAACCACAGCGACTCTGAGTTCTGAACAAGAGCTGGGGGCTCACGTGCAGCTGAAAAGTCGGTAGGATTATAAAAAAAGAACAAAAATAACCAACACGAAATTTCAGTTAAGAACTCACAAGGAGGACCCTGATGAAAACCAAAAGCTAAATAAAATGTATCCCAAGACAAACGTTAAACGTTTCCGAAGCTATGGCAGCAAGAAGTGCCGGGTCCCAAAGCGACAGGTCCCCCAAGGGTTTTCCAGCCTACCACGGGCGGCAGCATTGAGCTGTGGGTACCGCCTAGCACCAGATGTCGCAAACCCCCAGCCGGGGCACCTGGACGCGTGCGCCCCGACCCTTTGGTGTGTGCAGGTGGTTGACCCAGTCTAGAGGAAGCTGGAGCTTGACAGGTGGCTCTGGGGCGCCCCCTGAGGTCCAGCGGCCTCAGCAAACCTAAAACCAGCATCTCCCAGGGCTGTGATATTTTTTTACTTTGACTCCAAAAGCTGCCTCCCCTGTGCCTCTCTCTTACAAACCGCCCTCGGCTCCTGGGGTGAGGGTAAGGGCTAGTTGCCTGGACGGCTGGGCAGGAACAAAAAATGAGACCTGAGATGGTTCAAGCCTCATCAAGGCGGCATCCCTAGCGGTCCCATACTGGGTTGCAAGCCTCCTCAGGCACCAGAAGGAAGAAAGACATTGTAGAAACACTGGCTACATCCCGGAGGGGTCAGCCAGAAACGGAATTGGAAATTTCTGTTTTGCGAGGCTGCCTCCCACCGCCCCTATTAAAAAGTGTCCCTCACTAGGCTCGACCCCGAGTGCACTCGAGCGCACTCAGCTGGCAAGTCTCTGGGAAAAAAAAAAAAAAAGGAATCTTGTCAGAGACAGTGATAAAAACAAATGCTGTTCAATGGTCTCTAAGGGAGAAAAGTGCTAATTCTCAGAGGAGATGCTCCTCGGTGTCTACTTCTATAGAGGCAGGACCCCAGGATGCAAACCCTGGGCCTCCGGTGAGTAGGCACTCACACCCTGACCGATCCTCGAGCGGGGTTTCTGGACTGTGCCAAGAGCTGGGTTGACAGCTCCGGAGACCGGAGGATATGCTGAGGAAAAGGGGGCATAAGAACCCGCAGTGTTTTGCCCTCTGCTCCTCGCAACCCTCGAACCTACCAAGAAGGGACCACTCGCTGCCAGTCCTCTTAGAGCGGGTCCCTGGGGGGGCAGCGAGGGTCCTAACGCCTGACTCCTAGGTGCAAGACGGGCTTAGGGGTACCCGCTGCACCAAAACCCCACGCTCTGGCAACCGAAGCACAAGCTGTTATTAACCAGGGAAAGCGGAAACACTGGGGCACGTATCTTTTTCTTGATTAGAATAACCGCCGCCTCCAAATATCCCAGAACGGGCGGATGAGAAAGCAGAAAAACTGGGTGTTCTGTCCTTAGGTGATCGAGGAAAGAAAAGCAAATCGCGCCCTCTCCCACCCTTTTCCCCCAGCCAGGACAGAGGATGTGGCCTTCACCCACAGAGAGGGATCTGGGCAGCTTGAGGGAGGCTTGGAGCTGCAGCCCTCAGACTCTGCAAGAGAAGAGGCTGGCCTCTGCCCTCACCGAAGCGGGGGAGGGGGGTTTGAAGGCTGGGAGTGGAGGGTCGCAGGCGGCACACCGCTACGTGCAGTGATTTAGGATTGTCGTCAGTGGCCAATATTATTCCAGTCTTAACCTACCTAGAAAAGGAGCGGGTCTAGGTCTGAATCTGGCAGGCACACTCAGCCTGCAAAAGGGCAAAGATGAAGGTAGGCAGGGCGCGCCAGACAGCAAAAAAATCGCCCGGACGCCAAAAGCAACCCAGCCGCCGACCCGCCCCTTGCACTTGGACCCTGCAACCCAGCCCTTGAGAGTGGTACTGACAAGGGCCGCGAGCCCCAAGAGGCACCGATCTAGCCAAAAAAAAACCCTGCTCCCTGTCTTCCAGCAGCCCCCAGGCCCCCGCGTCCAGGGAGCTGTCTCGCGCCGGCACTGAGGCGTAGCCCGCACCTCAGCCCGGAGCAAGGCTGAAAGGAGGTGGCCCCGGCCCCGGCGACCAGAACGCGGACTGCTCCTCACATCCTGAATCCTCTGCAGCCAGCCTCCGCCAAACACCACCCCCCTACAAAGGGTCAGAGGGATGCAAAACAAGCCTCCGTTATGAGCTCCGTTCATCCCCGCCGGAGCAATGGGAGCACCCCAGATTACTTAAACCAACAGAGCATCCTTCCCACAGCCAGTCTCCCCAGACACCCTGCAACTCTAGCCCTCCGGGTCGGCTCCGGATCAGCAAAGCAATCACCCCACCTCTCCACCCCTCGACTCAAGCTGCTCCAAGCTTCCCAAGCTACAGACAGGGCAGATCTCAGTCCCCAATCCTTCCCAGCCCGCCACTGCTTCTGCCCTCCCCGACTACCAGCCTCCTAGAATACTGCCGGAGCCAATGAAGCAGATCCCTCTTTCCTCCCCGGCAGCCCGGCCCCCCTTCACCCTCTCCGCGGTCCCTAGACTGGCGCCCAAGCTCCGCGCCCCGGCGACAACTCCGCATACCCCGCGCGCGCGGGCCGGAGCCGTGTCCCGTCGGCGGCCCTCACTCACCCGGGAAGCACACCACATAATGGAGCACAGAACTGGTGATTTTCAGGAACAAAATCCACCAACACGGTTCCAGTAACCTCCGCATGTCCGAAAACGCACATCGAAAAAGAGAAAAGCAGGGGGGTAAACTTGTTGAATAAGTTCTTGCTTCCGAGCGAGGCTCCGCTAAACCAGAAGGCTTTCTCGGCTCGCCCGCCACCACACAGGCTCCCCACGCTCAGCGACCGGTCCCGCAGGAATCCTGGATGCTGCCAAGCGTCCCCGGGAAAACCTCAAAAAGTGACCGGCGATGCAAAGCCACTCTAGGGACGATCCTCTCGGAAGAGAAGGGAGGCTTTCTGCTCAGACACGATTCAGCCGGTCGGGCAGGGCGAAGAGAAGGCGCACGGCGGCAGCGCCCGGGGCCCGGGGCAGGCAGGGACCGCGGGTGGCGGCGGCGAGCAGCGGAAGAGCCCCAAGTTGAGTCGGCAGCGCAGCGCAGCCCGAGAACCGGCGGGCGACGGCGGGGCTGTGCGCTGCACGGCGGCTCCGGGCTTCAGGCGGGCAGCTCCTTCCAGGGCCCCGGCAAGGAAGGAGGCATGTCTGTGAGCGGGGAAAGGGAGGGAAGCGGCGGGGCGGAGCGCAGAGCCCCCCAGAACAGAAACGGCCGGAGGAGCGCAGAGAAACACAAAGGATCTCAGAGGGGCGCCGGGGCGAGGGCGCCTTCAGTCCCTGCTCCTGAAAGTTGTGGCTCCGGCGCAGGCTGGGGAGGAACCGAGAGCGCGGGGCTGGAAACTGGCCATGCCTCCATACAGGAAGTAACATGTGAGCATGAATCCTGGCAGAGACTTTAAAGCCGGCGAGCGGGCGAGCAAGCGAGCTGGGGGCGCGCGGCGGCGGGGGCGCGCGAGCACGGGCGCGCGAGGACGCGCATCCCCGGGCTGCCGCCGGCGGGCACGCGCGCTGCACTCTCTTAAAGCGGCAGCGCTGGGCTCACGCTTCCAAGGACTTGCACTATTGGCCTCTCCAGGGCAAAGGGTGTAAGGTTAGGGGAGCTGGTAGCCGTGGTTCGGTCTAGGACAGGGATGAGACCGGCTATCTTCTGGGGCCAACGTGGCTCTGCTCCATTTGGGAGCTCTTAAAGACGAAGCTTTCTCCGCGGATTCGGAGAGCTCCCTGACTGGAGTAGCTCGTGGATCCGGGACTTTGGGGTTAGAATCTGGGGGCGAAGGAGGGGCCGGCAGCTACCTTTTTCATGGAGAGGGGACTTCCTTACGGCCCTACCTCCTTGACCGTGCCTGCATCCCCTACGTCCCTCTCCTGGTGCATTCCAGGCTAGGAGACAAAGCCCAGCGGCCTTTGCACTCGGGTTGCTTTGAGATTTGATTTTTTTTTTCTTCCCCTTTCCGAGCTTCTATTGGCCGAGCCTACGGCTGGAAGATGGGGTGGGGGTGGGGAGGGGTCAATTCCAGGCTTACAAAATCCAGCCTCAGTTCTACACTCGCTTTCCCCAAGCCACGAAGGTCTGTAGAGGAGTTTACCCAACTCTCGCTCCGGAGAGAAGGTGGCTGCACCGTGGCCTGGTTGGGCAGAGGACGAGTGAAGTGCCTCTCACCGGGGCAGAGGAAAGCAGCACCCCAGGGCAGGACTGGATTTTCCGGCAGCTTCCCTAGGAGCCACGCTTTAAGTAAGATACATGGGAGAGGCATCCGGGGGAAATGCGAGGACTAGGCTTATCTGTAATGAGTTTTGTCCCTTGGCTCTTACTGAGATCTTTATCGCTTGGGCTTCCCAGCAATTTATTTTTTTTTTTCCTCCCTACGTCGGTGCTAAAAGTGAGGAAGGCCGGCTTTTGACTTTTCGCTCTTTTTTTAATTAAATTTGTAATTGAACCATTGTAATTTTAAGGGTTTTTTTCCATAATTTTTCTGCCTCTCTTTGAAAATAATGTGGACATGTTTTTAAAGTGTCCCCTTGCTGTTTCATTCCACCGCTGCATGGTCCCACACCCACCCGAACAACCCAACCGGATGTTCTTTGGATTTTCAAATAATATACAGATGTCCTGAGAGCCTGCAGCATGGTGTGATTAGGAAAGCAGTTTCGCACCCACACTTCCAAAGAAAAGCCTTTGAGAAGTTAGGTTTGGGGTGACAAACTAGTAAAAGCCAGGAAGTTCCTGGGCAGGGCCCCCAGCTCTATGTTTAGCCAAACCCGTCGAATGCCCTCCCGGGGCTGGGCAATGAGACCGGTCTGCTTGCTTTGGAATTTGGTTTTTCCTGACATTATTGCAATCGAGGGGCCAAGGGAATGCTTGTGATGACCAGTTATCTTGAAAGTCATGTTGGAGGGTATTCAGGTGCCAATGAGAGGAAGATAGGTTAAAATGACCCATTCCTTCTCCTCATCGCCCAGTTGGTGGGACTGGAATCTCAGGAGGATCAGCGTCCTCAACTGAGCTTTATCTGTGGAATGGTGTCATAGGAGCTGCCCTTTGCACAACGCTGGGTTCTTTCTATACCCTGCTGGTTCAGCAAGTGGACTGTGCACCCACTCGGCTGGGTATACTGAGACCAAGACTTGCCAGCCTTCTTGCCTCACCTGGGGAAAGTCCAAGGAGGGAGGGTTTGAGAAGACATTAATTGTGACCGGCAAAAAAAGGGGCTCCAGGACCCCAGCTTGTTCAGCTTCAAGATCATGCCCCTTACAGTATATGGGGTGCTGTGCTAATATGTTATATGACTTTAAGTCTGTCCTGGCTGTTGCCTGTGCTGGGACCCCAGATTAACACAAATGGATATTGAAAGCACAAATCAAGCTCTATAGGCTCCCAAAACATCCAAAAGTTTTACCCAGGCGCATCCACACGTGCCTGTAATCCCAGCCCTCTGGAAGCAGAGGCAAGAGAAACACAAATACAAAGCTAGCCTAACTTTATAGCAAGACCTTGTCTTAGAAAAGGGTTTTAAGTTTATCACAAAAATCCACGGGCCTGTTACACAAATGTGTTTTCGTTTTCATTCTACAATCAAATACATGGCGCAAAATGATCCCGTGACCCACCTGGGCTTCCTTCTGGTGCCAGTGTGGCAGTACCCCTCTCTCGGGTGTTGTGGGGTGGTGCAATATTCAGAGCTGGAGGGAGGGGCTTGGCACCATGGTGACCACTTAAAAACTGCAACAGAAGACACTACTACTGACAGCAAATTCCCCCCACACTTACACACTTATTTTCTCTCAGCCTGGAAGGGGGTGGAAGGGAAGGTGGGCAGAGCTCAGGCGTTGGGACTGAACCAAGGTGTCGATCAGGCTGGACGGTTCTCTTCCAATCTCATGGGCACAGAACTCAGCTCCCAATGACTGTAGGAGAACAATGTTCGTCCTTACTGGCTCTTAGCCAAGGGATGCTTTCATTTAGAATCCCTCCAGCACAATGGCTCTCAACTTCTCTAAGGCTGCAACCCTTTAATACAATACTCGTGTTGTCTTGACCCCCCCAACCATGATATTATTTTGTTGTTACTTAACTGTAATTTTGTTACTGTTACGAATTGTAAATATTTGATATGCAGAATATCTAACGTGTGACCACGGCTGGGGGACGGGGCACAACCCACAGGTTGAGAACCACTACTCTAGAGTCTTGGTAACTTCCTTCTTCAAAGCCAGTAAAAGAACCTTCTCTTTTGACTAGACGTCTTTGAGAGTTCATTCCACCATTTTTGTACTGCAATACAGTCCTACTAAAGGAGTAGCTATCCAGACACATGGGAAGTCTCACTTTCATGAAGAGGGAATGACATATCAGAGACTGAGCATCTTGGAAACCACATTAGAATTCTGTCTACCATGGTTCTGTGACCTAGCAGGAATACCAATTGTTGTTCCTTTTGGAAACTACAGCTCCCAGATTCCTCCTGGATTACGGATACCTGCATGCGGGCGCGCACAGGGGCAGGACATTTCTCCCAGATACCCTTGCGCTTCTCGTTAAAAAGCGAGCTTCCACGAGGTCTCGCTCTCTTGCCCTTTACCCTTGTGTGTCTTGCACACCTGTCCTTTATCGTGTCCCCCCCCCCATTAAAGCGCACCCACGTGGGAGCCGCGTGTCTGTGTCTTCTCCTTTCGTGCGTGTTTTGTCTGTCCTGTGTCTCCACACACACACCCGCTTTAAAAGAATAATACCAATGCTCCTTGCCGTATGACGTCTTACAGCCCAATAAACCCATCATAAATTTTATATATACCAGCCTGGTTTGTTGCCACACACCTGTAATCACAATACTCCAGACGCTGAAGTAGAAAGATCATAAGTTCAAGGCTCACCTGGCTACACAGTGAAACCCTATTTTAGAATATTTTCTGTTCCTGTGATTAAACACTGCTCAGCACCAACCTGGAACTGCATACTTGGGAGGCAGAAGCAGGCAGATCTGAGGTTGAGGCCAGTCTGGTCTAAGAGAGAGAAAGTTCCAGGGCAGCCAAGGTTACACAGAAAAACCCTGTCTCAAAACAAAACAAACTCTACCAACAACAAGAAGAACAACAGAAATTTGGAGAACAAATGGTTTAATTAGTTTACAAATCACAGTCCATCCTTCTAGAGGTGGAAAGCCAAAGCAGGACCCTGAAGGCAGGAAGTGAAGCAGAAGCCTTGGAGAAGAGCTGCTTACTTGCTTGCTCCCCACAGCGTGCTCAGCTACCTTCCTTTGTACACCCAGGACCACCTGCCCAGGGGTCGCACTGCCCAAGATCAGCTGCCCCCCCCCCATTACAGCCATCATTAATCAAGAAAATACCCCCGAGGCTTGCCTACAGGCCAGTCTGATGGAGGTGCTTCCCCAATTAACTTCTTCCCTGATGATCCTAGCTTGTCTGCAAAACGGTGAAAACACTGGAGTTAGTAGCCAGCACACTATTCCTCCTTGTGGCCCACTGGCCACCTAAGACCTGAGGGCACCCAGCGTGTCCGGTGAGAATTGTACGACATGTCGCTAGTCAGAGAAAAGAACACGGTTCATAGTTAAAACTTTACCTATGGTTCCTGCTGAATGCTGGTTGCTTTTTTTTTTTAATCGTGGCCAATACATCACAACTCGGCCCATCCTAAATCAAGGACCATCTCTCTGTGCAGACTGGTGGTTAGGGGCAATAGC